AAGAGAAACAAGATACCCAAGTTTTGATGTGGAAGCCCATAATTATTAAATAATGTATGGACCATCCAAAAGTCCATTTTTTGTGTTGAAACTGGTTTGTGGATGGCCATTTGGTGAGTCCTTCCTACAGCATTTGATAAATGCCAAGTGGAATGTCCACCAAGGAGTGCTACTAGAGATCAGAGCAGAGGAAAGAGAAGGTAAAGCATCCTCTTTGCCTTCACACGGATCCTTCTTTCTGCCTCTCCCCCTTTTCTGTCCCCTTGTCCACCTGGAAAACTTCTGTTTATCATTGAGACTCCATTTGACCACTACCCTCTGAGAGGCCAACCCCACTCCTCAAGGCATCACTAACATTCCATATAAATCACAGCTATAGCACATACAATATTACATTTTAATTTTCTCTTTATAGGCCATTCTGCCTCACTGGGGATAACGTTCTCCAGGGCAAGGAAAGTGTCTTACTTTTGTCTGTAGTTTCTAGTACTTAACGTCATCGTCATGTCTGGGTTTGGTTAAGGGCTCAAAAATGCGTGCTAAAGGAATGGAAGACTTTTTAGATTAGAGAGTTTCTCAAAGTACAGTCTCCATACTCACTACTTGAAGAATCCCCACAGGGCCTGCTCTTGAAGTTTGATTTAGGAAAGAGAGTCCACCCCTGTTTTAAAGGAGCTCCTTGGTTAAATTTCATGAGCACTGAAGTTCAAGTACCTCTGGGCTAAACTGTAAACTCCACAAGGAGAGAGACTTAGTCTTTTTTGTGGGCTCTTGTATTCTTAGCATCTTGGCACAATGCTTGGGTCAAAGTAGGCATTCAGTGTGCATTTGGTGAATGAATGAATGGAAGAATGAATGAAAAAAAATAAGAACTGAGTTGCAACAAGACTCCTCAGACCTCCCATAGGAAGCCCAATCAGCATTTTGTTTATTCCTTCATTTAAACTTACCACAAAAGGCACTAAAATGGGATGGAGAGTTGGTCAGGAAAAATCTCTCTGACAGTCTGACAGTCTTCCCCAACCCTGTCCTCCTAGGCTTGGAAGAATGTTCAGAGGCGATCCCAAAGCCTTTGGGTTACTTATTCAATGACTTGACCTTAATGATAGTATTCAAGGAAAGCAAGGCAGATTGAAAGTAAAGACAACAAACTCTCACCTTGGCAGCATTATTAGGAATACTCCCCTTCCATCTTTTCTTTTTCTACCCTGTAGCTACCACCATTCCTTTTTAATCCCCGTTCCTAACAAATCTAGCAGGAACAACTCTTATTATACTTCCTCTCCCTTCCCTTCTCCACCCTCTGGTGGAGGGATAATGAATAGCAAAATGCATAGGAAAAAAAATCAAATGACAAGAAAAAACATATAAAACAAATATTTGGTTATTTTCTGGCAGTAGGACTGCCCAGAACAGTTAGGGTAACTACTACTACAGATTTCAATGAAAATATATGAAATTATATTCTGAATAAGATACATTTCTGGGTTTTCCATTTATGATTAATTAACTCATTCTGCCCTCCAAAAGTATTCTGCTTCTTTTGACATTTTTCACTCAATTTAAACTGGGGCAGATATAAAGTGTTGCTCAATAAGATCACAATTAATATAGTTCAAAAGAGTTTCTTAATCTCACACAAAAGTTAACATAGATTCTTCTAGGCAAGCCAGGAATTACAATGTGACCATTACTATATTTCTTGTAATTTTGGAGCTAAAGAGAAGAAATTAAAGCTCTAAGCACAGAATAACATTATTTCTCAGACAATCCCCATAACAATGGCCCCCACTGGACTGTATTAAAGAACAAAGACATTTTATCACCCTCGCATTTTTGGTGTCCAACTCAGTTCCTAGCTTTAAAGAAACATTTAAAGAATAATCAAATGAACAAGATAAGGATCATGGAAACTTGTACATTGGTATATAGCAGGCATCAAGAACCCAGTTCAAGAACCCAGATTCATCCACTCCCAGGTTGACTGAACACAATGGACAATATCGTCTGGACCATATTTCTGCCTCCCCAATAAATAACCAATAACCTGGTTACAGAACAAGTCTTAGGTTGTTAAGATAACAATACAGAAGCATCACCTTCTGACTAGAACATTTCCTCCTATTTTTGTCTTTTATTATCTTGTCCTGCCAATCAACATCTTTACACTAGAGGAGTCATCGACATCTCTTTCCACCAAGCTCTCCTGTAGACAGTACTTAGCAGTATGAGTGACTATATAGGCCAGCCATTTATTCTTCTTGATTTTCTAAGCAAGTAATCAATCCTTCTTGAGTAATGGACTCCTTTGAGAGTATGACAAATGCTATAGAGTATGACAAAAGCTAGGGAATCTCTCCCCTGGGAATAAATTAGCACATGCACATGCATACAAAAAATTATGCATAACACAGGTGGTTCATAGACACATTGATGGTCACACCCAAGTTCTTTCTTCAAAAATTTTACATTAAGTTATATCAAAAGAAATGGAGGGTTATCTGATAGCTAACTACATAACAGTATTATTCCTGCTTCCTAGAAGATAGCTTCACAGAACTACAATTCAAGAATTAATCCTCAGTTCATTGTTCAGGATAGTGAGTAACACAGTAGACAAGATTTTCAAACTCAGCATTACCAAAATGCAGACTTGCTATTTTATTTATTCAGTGGTTGACTTCTGTGTAAAATCATAGCCACAGTTTAAAATACTGTTAAGTTGTTCTCCTTAGGTGCTTTATCAGAATATTGCCTTATAAGATTTTGAAAATTCCTTTTCACTGCTGTGTAATCTCAGAAGATTTTGATTTTTGAGAATGGTTGATCAGGTTACCATAAGGGTCAGAATGTCTACTATTGTGTCCAGAAACATGGACCTTGGGATCTACCGCTTAATTCCTGGGTGATCTTGGGTGGGTTACATAACCTTTTTCAGCCTCAGTCTCCTTATTCTAAAAGGAAGATAGCATATAATACTTTGCAGGGATTGCATGAGGAGTAAATGAGCTAACAGATGAAAGCATTTAGTGCATTTCATGGGCTGTAGTCAATGCTCAATAAATAGTAATGAATATTAGTCTAATTGTCTATAAAACACTTAGCATAGCTCTTGATGCACTGTAAGCCCTCCACAAATAGGATGTGGTATAATTATAATTATTGGAATTCATATCAACATAATATTATGAATGGTCTCAGTGATAGGCCATTGATTGTGGTATTTACTGACCAGCTATCTGGAAATGACTTACTTTTGTCTTCTTATACAGTGGGTACATGTTTGTTTTTATCCACTCTGAAGCTACTGGACTTCAAAGCAAGTTCAGCTCAAATCTTTGACACTTTGAAGCATGTTTTTGAGACTTCAAAGCATGTTCAGCTCAAATCACTGAGGGCCCACCATGTGTGAATATGCTAAAGGGATGGGAGAAATATGGTCTGTGCCTTCAACCATCCATGGTTCAGC